TTAACTTACCTCTTCGCCATTTTAACTTACCTTTCTTTAATTATTATGGTTAATACCGTGTGATAAAAAAAGAACTGTATTTGTAGCTTTTAAACCATTTTTTTAGATTAATAGTAAAAATTATTTTTAGATTAATAATATCACGTTTTCAAAGGCATTTTGTGTAAAAACTAATTAGAAATTTAACTTCATAATAATTAACTTACCTTTCTGCAATTTTAACTTACCTTTCTTTAATTATTATAAATATCATAATTATAATAATAATTATTATATTTTTGGTAACTTACCATTTTAAGTGAACACTTGCCATTTGTAAATATAATAATGCATGAGCGGGAAAACCAATAATTTTAACTTCATGATAATTAACTTATCTTTCTGTCATTTTAATTTACCTTTCTTTAATTATTATAAATATCATAATTATAATAATTATTATTACATTTTCGGTAACTTACCATTTTAAGTGAACAATTGCCATTTGTAATTGTAATAACGCATGGGCGGGAAAACCATATGTGGACTCCAGGTGTTTTTAAATAAAGTATGAATAAAAGACTAATCCCAATTCCAATTTTTTTTAAATTTTTTTTTTCGGTGTGTTAAAAACCAAACCCTTCCCAAGCAAAAGGTTGCACTGAAGCCCAGCGCACGTAGTAGAGAAGGGAGCAAAGCAAAGGAAGCCGCTCAGAAATCGGAACCCTATTCCGAGTTCATCCTTCAACAATCGTCGGGAGACTCGACCCTCGATCAAATCCGAAGAATGCACGCTCCCGTTCTTGTTCTCAGTACGTTTTTTCTCCTTTATCGTCTACAAATGCGTCGTTTTTTTTTCTTTTCAGAGAGAAAAAAACAAACCCGTTTGATTTCTTTTTGTGTTTCTACTACTTATGACAATCGAGCAGAGGATTCCATAAAGCGTGAGCAAGGACACAAGGTGCACTATGGCAACATACAAGCATCGAAGGTAGGCTTCATTATTCACCGTGCTTATTTTGGAGATGGTACATTAATTAGGTGTTCAATTGATCTCTAAAACTTACACGAATTGCATAGCATTCCTTGAGCTATGACAAAAACAATATTACTCCAAACATTTGACTACATATATGGAATAACAATCACACCTAGTTATAACAGTATTATACTGTAATTCTTAAATTTGGAGTATTTTGAGAAGTGGGCAAATAAGTCCGGGAACAAGCAGTGATGTGTTAACTTTATCATCTGGAATGTATATGTGGACACCTGCCCTAGTGATTTAGTTGTTAATAGAATTAATAGATGCTAGTGTCCTGTGCTTTTGCCTTAAAATACTACTCCATACTAGAATTAATTGGAAAGGCGTCTTTAGGATCCAAACTGCTTAAACTTTTAACGCATAGCTCGTATCAAAGTTGTTAGTTTATATATTATCCATGTCATGTTAGGCTGTTGCTGACATCATACGTACCACTTTGGGTCCACGATCAATGTTGAAAATGCTGCTTGATGCTGCCGGAGGTGATCTTCTCCTACCCACTTATTCTCCAATTTTACATTAGTGGCTGTTATAGATATGATTATCTTCTATTCTGCTCTGGGATCTATAGTTTCTTCTATTATTTTCCATTATTGCTTATTACATATTTACATTTCACTCTTTCTTCTCTGTCTTCTGCACTATTTGTTGTTATCAGATTTACTGTTTACTTACTTATCTATTTGAGATCCATCACAGGAATAGTCGTGACTAATGATGGAAATGCCATTCTACGTGAGTTAGATCTTGCACATCCTGCAGCTAAGGTACATCCTTTTATTAATCATACCCCTTTGCCCTTTCCGCTTTGTGGTCATTCATTTTCTGCATCTATGCTTCAAGTTGTTTTTTTGTATCGGATGATGCTTCATACCTTAATTCATTTATGCTGAATGTCCAATTTTTTTATTTCTGTGGGCTGTTGTAGTCCATGATTGAACTAAGTCGCACTCAAGATGAAGAAGTGGGGGATGGAACAACATCTGTCATAGTTCTTGGTATGGTTTAATTCTTGTAATTTCTTTTCTGTTTTTTGATTGATTTATGGCTTTGCTCCCAGTTTATGTATGCCATTCTTTAGTATTAAATACTTAAATCTTATAGCTTTAGGTTAGTGTGCCATTAGCCAGTTGTGCTTATTGGATACCTGATGCCTCCTGAGGAACATCAGTGAACAAACAGACTTTTTTACCTTCTGCATGTTTTAAGTGTCTCTTATAGAAACTGACTTAACTTGTAATTTCTCTAAAGATAATGACCAAGTCTTGGATTTTTTATCACCACACCCTCACCATTTCTATAGTTCATATTTTTCTTTGTCCTTTTTGAGAGGCATGTTTGAATGTGCATTCCATGTAAACTTGAGAATACTTATTCCATTATTATGATGTCATATTCTTCTTGCTGACCTATTTGAGTTTCCTGAAGCCGGTGAGATGCTTCATGTGGCGGAGGCATTCATCAACAAGAACTACCACCCAACTGTCATATGTCGAGGTTAGTAGATAATACACGCATACATTTCTTAATGTATTAAGTACAGTTTGACTTTGCGTAAGAGCATGTATCACTGTGTGCAGCATATAATAAAGCCCTAGAAGATGCTATTGCTGTGCTGGACAAAATTTCAATAACCATTGATGTCAAGGATCGTATGTTCCTATATCCTCTTTGTATTAAGCTCTTTCAATCTTTAGAAAATACCTTTTATTAGAGTGCTTCACCTTCTTTACATTCTTGATTATCAACAATTCAACCATGCACTTGGGTTTTAGAAATAATTATTTTCCTTGGATTGGAAATGCTTGGATAATGTCAATGATAAGGAATAGCATTGTGTTGATGGATTTTTTTGAGTAGTTTAGATAAATGCGTACAAACTCTACTTCTCAAATGCTGCGCTTTTTGCAGGTGCAGCTATGTTGGGTCTCGTGAAAAGCTGTATTGGTACAAAATTCACTAGTCAGTTTGGAGATCTAATTGCGGTAAGGTTTTCTGTCTTATAAAGAGGACTGTTGAAATCCTGTGCTACCTGGCTCTTATTTGACATGTTATAAGTTCCTCTGCCATTCATGTTTATCTATGCATAAGAGATTTCTCGTAGAAGCGCGACAATCCACAAGAAATATTTATTCTTTACTGCTCTAACTTTGTATTGATTACTTTATATATGTGCTATACCACAAAAGCACAAATACATGATAACATAGTGGCTAGGGAGAGTTAATTGGTTCGGTTTCATCCTCTAATGGACATTTGAACATGATCTCCATATTTATCTTTCTTTTTGTGTCCTTGGATCTTTTGAAACCCTTTCGGTATTGCTGGGACCCTCTAACAGTTTCTTTGGTGAGCACATGAGATTATTGCAAATTATATCTTACCACTAATTTTTTTTCAAATATTTATTTATTTATTGTATTATTGTAAAAAGGTTCTTACAAAGAGTTCATTGGACATTTTTAGGATTTGGCAATTGATGCCACGGAAACGGTTGGGGTTGAAATTGGCCAAGGGTTGCGTGAAGTGGATATTAAAAAGTACATTAAGGTTGAGAAGGTTCCCGGCGGTCAGTTGGAGGATTCAAAAGTGCTCAAAGGAGTTATGTTCAACAAAGATATTGTTGCTCCAGGAAAAATGAGAAGAAAGATTGTAAATCCTCGCATTATTCTCCTTGATTGTCCCCTGGAGTACAAAAAGGGCGAGAACCAAACCAATGCAGAGTTGCTTAGAGATGAAGATTGGAGCATTCTCTTGAAAATGGAAGAGGAGTACATTGAAAACATGTGTGCTCAAATTCTTAAGTTTAGACCAGACGTGGTCATTACTGAAAAGGGGTTGAGTGACCTGGCGTGTCATTTTCTGAGCAAAGCTGGTGTTTCTGCAATTAGAAGGCTAAGGAAGACAGACAATAATAGAATTGCTAAGGCTAGTGGAGCAGTTATTGTTAACAGACCTGATGAGTTGCAGGAATCTGACGTTGGTACAGGGGCTGGACTTTTTGAGGTGAAGAAAATTGGTGATGAATTCTTCACTTTTATTGTTGATTGCAAAGACCCAAAAGCGTGTACTGTACTTTTGAGAGGTGCCAGCAAAGATTTGCTGAATGAAGTGGAAAGAAATTTACAGGTAATCTTAAAATCAAACCATTTGATGTAGGGCCCATTCTGAACAAAAATCTCGAGCAAACACTCTTGAATTAGCCACATGAGATTATCTAAAAACATCTAAACAGGTTCCGTATTTCAAATGATTTATTATTATTATTATTATTCTTATTCTTATTATTATTATTATTATTATTATTTATTATTATTATTATTATTTCTTATCACTTTAGAGTATATTTAGTCGACAAAATTGGAAGAGTATATGATTCATTATAATAATATTAAACAAGAAAAACTTGTGTTTGCCCAATGTACAACTATTAAATTTTCGTAAGGAGCAACTACTATAGATCACCAATGTTACTTATATTTTCCAAGGTTATGTTTGGATGGAGGATTTTGGAGGAGTTTAGAAGAGAAGGCTTTTCTAGGCTTGATCCATATCATGAAATATGTTTAAGATATTATTTAAATTTATGATTATTATAATCCATGATCATATAACATTTTAATCACCTTTTTTGTTTCAGGAACATTTTATTTATCAGGATATTGACTATTCCCATCCCCTCCATCTGAACAGACCTTAGTTTTATCATATGTAACTCCTTTATGGCAAGTTATATGAAACACTAGCTTCTTGTGGTCAAACATTTTTTTGGGAGGCAAAGAAGTATATGAAAACCTGACTCTTTAACGGAGACTGCCGAGTTGTTTTTTGCAGAAACTTTTTAACTGGCTTCTAAATAGCTACATTTGAGTTTAATAAGCTCTGAACTTTTTTTTCTGAAGACATTGAATCTTTCTAATAAAAGCCTATGAGAATATCAAAATTGTTTCAAACTAAAATGAAAAAAAATAATACTAAGTGTAGAAGACGAAATAAATTTTCTTCTCAATGGGTCTTATTGCGTAGATAAATCAGCTTGTTTAAAAAGTGGTTCTGATCTCGCAATACATTAATGTGTAGGATGCTATGTCTGTATCCAGAAACATCATCAAGAACCCAAAGCTAGTGCCTGGGGGTGGTGCAACAGAGTTAACTGTATCTGCTATGTTGAAGCAGAAGAGCTCATCCATTGAGGGTATTGAGAAGGTAATGATATCACCTGTTACTGTACTCTTTTGGATATCTTTAAATTCTTTATTTTACATTAGGTTTATATAAATAAATAGAGATTCCTGAGATATTTATTACAGAGTACTCCACAATAGATTAGTATTTCATAACCTGCAGCAGTGTTCAATTGTAACTTAACAATGAGTCACTAACTCACTGGTATTAACTTTTGAATAGTGGCCATATGAAGCTGCTGCAGTTGCTTTTGAGGCCATACCACGAACATTGGCCCAAAACTGTGGGGTCAATGTGATTAGGACGATGACTGCGCTGCAAGGGAAGGTAAATGATATCCCTATAATTCACTCTGGCAGGTGATATCTGGCCCTTGTTAGAATATTGAACATAAATTTGATGCCCTTTTGTAGCATGCAAATGGTGAGAATGCATGGATTGGAATAGATGGGAATACTGGGGAGGTTGCTGATATGAAAGAGAGGAAGGTATGATCTTTTGTTCAGTGCCACTTTTTTACTATGTCAGATGCTGATGGCGTTACACAAAATACAAAACCGTTCATTCTTGATAAATGAACTTTTAAGTTCCAATAAAAACCTGCAAAACACTAGGGGAATAAAGTAGGGAGAAAATGTGAGTGAAAATGAAATATAGACTAAAATCAGTAAATTCCATAATCTCGGATGGAGCCAAAAATTCACTATATTTCGGCTTTGGGGTGATGGAATAAAGCAAAATGGATCTATAAACTATCTGTGCTTTAATTAATGTAGTAGTTTTTCAATCAATGCAACTTTCGACGCTAAGCCGGGGATCTCTTTGGAAATAGCCTCTCTACTTTCGAGTAGGGGTAAGGTTTGCTTTGCGTACACACACCCTCCCTAGACCCTACTCTTGTGGGATTCAATTGGGTTGTTGTTGTTGGTCCTCATTTTATTTACGTAATATTTCTCTAATATATAAAGAAGAAAACTAAAAAATATATGGCAAAAAGAAATAATCACATTTAGCTGGCATTTATTCCCATTTCACTAGCATTTTCTTGCTTCCAAAATTCCAAACAATACTCAAAGTTTTTTCAATGATTTTAAATTGCAACTTATTATTCTTTACATGTGAGATGTTACCACCAACGTCTTTAACTGGGTTTGTATTAAATTTCAGATTTGGGATTCATACACGGTTAAAGCACAGGCTTTTAAGACTGCAATTGAAGCCGCTTGCATGCTTCTAAGGATTGATGATATTGTAAGCGGTATCAAGAAAAAGCAAGCCCCAGGTGCAAGCCAGGCTCCATCAAAGCCAACGGTCGAGGGAGAAGGTGATGCTGACAACGACCAGTTGATTCCTGAGTGATGATGTCACATGGATAGGTTTGTTCATGCATCGGGATGCAATTTTCAATTTAATCAGCCCCCCTGGCCTTGGGTTTCTCTACTTTTACTGTGGTCGTTGTCTGTAAGAACTAGGAAATTCTGTTAAATGCTGAGAATGGGAGCCGGACATGCCCCTCCCATATTCCCTGAGCTTTGAATGATCTTTTTGGGGTTTGTGTGAATTCATGTTGTTCTTCTAAGTGTGTTTTTTATTTATTTAATGATAAAGAACATGATATTCCGTAATATCTTTCTACGTTATAATTTTTGTTATTCCCACGAAATTTTATCAATAGTGTACGCATGTTATTAAAAAAATTCTTCATATCAACTTCATCTTAATTCATAAACTTTTGGTGACTGATCGGGGGGATTTTGCAAGCGTACAAAAACCTAAGGTAGTAATAATGATCGGCAAGACTAGGTCAAATCCACAAGGACTTGTACATTTAATTGTACTTTGTATTTTAAAATGAGTGTGATAGTGCAATAACAAGAGCTTAACGCAATGATAGAGGAAAGCAACGAGGAGTTTGAGACTAGCCGATTATAACTACCTTGACTAAGAAACTTTGTTCAATAATTACTTTGTTCATCTAAGTACAATTATTGTTACGTCTTGCATAAATTTAGAGCCTTCATTGATGCTTAGACTCCAAAAAGAAAAAGCACCATTTAAGAGTTGGGTATATCTCTATCCCAACTCTTCCCAACTCTTCTAAACGTTTGTTTTACTAGAGCAAAAATTCACTTCACCTCTAGGTCCATCACAAAACTCCCAAAGTGCTAATCAAGTAGAGTTATTGATCTTTCATAGACTATCAATGATGCTAATATGGTCATACAATCAAAGCGAAACAAACAAGAACAATTTGTAATATACTTGAACTCATAATCAAAGTCTAATGGAGATTACAATGGCGCCATCCCTAATTTTGGGTGAGTGTTTTATCTACAAAACATGATGAACAAATGTAAAGAGATAAGAGTAGAGATTACACGAGACAAGTTGAAATTTGGAGTTGAAATATTGAAACTCTAGCTCCTCTGATCTTCCTAAAGTTGAACAAGAACAACAAAGAAATACACAAATTAGGGTGAAGGGGGGAGATAATCTAAGCTAAGAATTTTATATCCATAAACATGAATTTATAAGAGTTCATTGTTGAGAATTTAATATGATCACCTCTTCTTGTGTAGTTGACGAAAATACAATGTCTTCATTGAATAAGAAATTTTAGATGATTTATATGACATGTCACGATTTCCAAGAACTATCAATCTTGATGGTGTGTATGAAGATGAAATATCCTGAACATGTTGAGACATGCAGATTCCTGTTTTCATTTGTAAAGATGTACTTCGTAATATTCCTAGAGTGTAAGAAGCCAACCAACCCCATATTTTTATCTCATGTTTGGCATCATGCTTTGCACAGGTACACACAAAAAATATCTATGCAGCATAGACAAATATTGACTTTGCCTGTCCAAGCAAAGCATGAGATTAAAAATCTAGCGTTACCCTAGCATAGCTCTAAAACAAAATCTCATGCAACTTAGAAACTATTTAACCACAAATTGTACTGAACTACGAAGTATGTTAAAATCCTTGAGTTCGTCCTTCATTCTTTATTTTATGCACTTTTCTTATTTCTATGTTTTTTTTACAAAAAAAATTGTACTCCGTACAATTTTCATACAACCATATTCATCCACTCTAGAATTGGCCATATATTCCAATAATATAAACTAGGACGACAACGAAAACAATAAAAAGAACGGTCCGGTTCTAGTGACACCGGAGAACGGTGCCACTGAGTTTTTGGGGCACCTCCGGTGCTCCGTTCGTAAAATTGACGGTTCCTACCCCCCCTAACCCACCCCCTAACCTACCCCCACCCCTGCACCCCCACCCCAACCCCGCCGTAAGCCCCCCATAAAATGTGTGGCTATTATGCATAATAGCCACACATTTTATGGGGGGCTTACGGCGGGGTTGGGATGAGGGTGCAGGGGTGGGGGTAGGGTGAGGGTTTAGGGGGTGGGTTAGGGGGTAGAAACCGTCAATTTTACGAACGG